ATCCCGTCTAGTCGGAGGGTTATCCGGAAATGTAAGAGTTCACCTGACTCGAACAACCAAGGAGCAAACAACCTCCTAAGCAGGGTCTCATTATGGTAATTGACTTGAGAATTATCAAAGGAATAGTAGGAGTCGAACGTGCGTGCGATGACAAAACAACAACTGGGTATTAGTGTGAAACAAAATCCCAGGCAGGGGCACACTACAGTTTTGTTTAAGAGTGAGCAGCCCACGGGATGAAACAGGTGCTGCATTCGTAACGCATCTGTATAGTAAGTTGCTTGTGTCTAGTTGAAATGATCCATGATTGTACAATTTACTGTGATTACAAAGAGTGAGGAGCTACGACCGCGTTTTGGGCAATATTAGTTAGAGCTTCGCAAAGCTAAGAATCTGACAGTAAACGCAGCAAAGTAAGCAGCCCAATGATGAAAACTGGCCTGAAGGAACGAAAAATATGAGTTGCTTAGGCACACAATATCAAGTTGGAAAGTTAAATGGCAGACTGAGCATGGATTGGTACAAAAGTAATGCTAAAGTGTAAACTTCAGACGCTTTTGTAGCGGATTTACACCCTATGAAGCAGATGCAGGTGTGCAGCGGAAGATTCGCTGCTTAAGAATTAGATGGGAAAGAGGGATTATCAACGAGGACAGTCAGGATGAAAGGTCTTCCAAATGCTGAACAATTTTACATGATCTACACAAAACAAATAAGTTCGCAAGTGAATGTTGCTAGAAGGAGCACAGCCTAGAATTACCTGGAATATAATTGGAGGCACGTGCTTGGTGAGAGGCAAATCAGTTCTGTCAGTGGAAAGGCCATACCCAACACCGTCCTGAATGCCTAAGTAAGACTATAGTGCACACCCAGTGCGGCAGCCAGATCCATAGATTATGGTGGAAACAAGGGACGGCTCATTAGTCGACGAGGGGATCGGAGGCATTATTGCGGTTATTATAGGGAAGGCGGGAAAATGTGCATAAGGAATCAGTGGTGTTAGTCCATCGATAGACAAGGCGCTGCGGAAGACGTATGGCGGACCCTCACAGTTGTGAGGGATCCGGCCCAGCGCTGTTTTACTGAGGCGTTCGATCCAGTGGCTTTGTTCCCTATTCCAATACGTGCATCCAGTTTCACTTCCACGGTTCACTTTAAACGGCAGTTACCCGCTGCATGCCTTTTGAAACGGACGTTTCTGTGTTGGTGGCCTTGCTTGATCGGATGACATATCTGACGACCTGCGTTCATTGGTTCATAGCCATTGATAAGACCACATGATGCATCGTCACCTTGCAGATCCGGCCGCAGGCATTAACATAATAAACTGGCATGGTATTTGGGTGACTTTCACGGGGATCGCCTTAATGCGTTGCACACAGGTGCTTACACTGACGCACCAACTATCAACCTGTGCCAGTGTCTAGGACCGTTCTTCATATGCAGGAACTATAAAACAGTCACAGGAGTATGCCCACCTTAGTCCAAACCTACTGTCAGCTAAATCCACTTGCAGACCCAAAAAGTCAATTGTGGTAAAGTACTGACATATTCTCAAGCGCAAGCCAACTTGGACAAATCAAAACAGGTAATGTGTTACTTCGGACGAAGTTTGATTCACTAATCCTACACTTACATCCTTTTGCTATAAGTCGCCTTGTCTCTCAGGCCTACAGCACGACAACTTAAAATGCAATTTCCTTTACGTTCTTCAAGTGTATGTTGTTACGGCTATCTGCGTTTGAGCTTGAGTCACGCATGCCAATCCACGAAAACGACCAAATCTGATTTATGGAATCACGGTACTATTGCAAAGATAATAATATACATATTCAACAAACCTCAACGGATTCTCGTCTGCAGATACCGTAGCGTTACGAAATAAGGCGGTACAATCACCAGCCTGAGGATAAAGCGCAGATCACCTCGCCTCAAGATCGATATCGTCACAACCAAACGGCGAGCAACCGCAAAAACCACAACGTCTGTCCAAAGGCCTTAAGAATTGTAAAAATAGTTCAGTGAAGCAAGACGGTTTCAGTTTATCTGGTCAAGGGTGATAAGTATGGGGATTGGCTGTCACACGGGGTTGGAACATGGAGCACATTGTTGGTAAGCTGTCTTCTACACCGCCACCCAAAATCCCAGTGGATTTTCCTCCATCAAGCTATGGTCATTCCTGGCTCAAATATTTTACTTACCCCAAGTTCCGAGTGAACTTACAGCAGTACGCCAAACGGAGCTTCCTCACGCGCCAACTCCCAGTGGTCTCTCTGTATGCGATGAGTTCAAAAACAGTTCAAACAGTTCAGCGCGCGGCTCCCATCTCCTTCCACCACCCCTACTCGCAGCCCTCTATCAAACTGATCTTACGCACATCCCTTCTTAGCCAACCCTCCCGTGCGCGTAAAACTACGGTCCTAAATAAACCGTCGCTCGATGTTTCACATTCATCAACCACGCCTACGGGCCACTATTCCCGAGAGAACGTGCCTGATTGCACCAGGATGACATCCCCTTTCCTTAAGTTCCTTTGGGATTTCTGTTCTTAAAGCAGAGGTATGTACTCCTTCATCCAGCGCTTCCAAAATACTTGGGCCAGATAGTTCACCTGTTGCCAACCTCTCGTATACCTCTCTGTTATACTTTCCGGCACAACTCCGTGTACCCTATTATTGAGAATGAGCAAGACACATTCGGTGTCAGTGCCGGCTTGTCGAAATAGTTGGTTTGGTTGGGCACAATAGGGCGTCTATTCATTACTCGCTCTGCTTCCGTAAAAAACGTTACTAGTTCTTCGTCGCTCGGATACTGCTCATTCACTGTCGACCTTAGTATCCGTCTTACGGAACGTATGAGACGTTCCCATACACCGCCTCTATGGCTGCTCAACGGTGGGGTGAATTCCCATTCGATGTTATACCGCATTAGTTCAGCGCTGATGCGGGAATGCGAAAGTCGATCTATGGCTCGTTCCAATTCCATCTCCGCTCCAAAGAATTTAGAACCGTTATCACTGATAACCATTTCTGGGACTCCCCTTCGTGCTATAAAACGCATCAGCGTTTTAATGAAGGCTTCAGAAGATAATGAATAGGCCATTTCAAGGTGCATTGCCTTTGGTTGTAAGCAGGTAAACAGGCGGTCGTACATTTCTCGGTCTTTCTTCCATTCTTAACTGATAGCAGTCGAAAATAGTCACACCCAACTATCTTGAAGTGATGCCAGCCTGGCTGGACCCTGTCGACTGGAAGTGGCGCCATAGCTTGTCGTGAAGCCGGGGTAAGGTTCCTTCGGCACGTCCAGCAACCGTGCAGCACCCGCTTAGTCATCGATACTCCTAGAACGATCCAATACCTTTGGCGCAGTTTGGCTAACGTATGCGATAGTCCACAGCGCCTATTCAGCACGAGGGCATTCCAGACTATCAGCCTCGTGACGTTATGCTTCGGGGGTAGTATGATAGGATGTTTAGCAATATGCGGCCACAAAACATGTGCAAGTCTACATTCGCATCATAAACGTGAACAAGTTTCACGCAACGGGGTATTTTTGGTTCGCCTAATGATTTCATACTTTCCAACCATTTCTGCTACTCCTCTGAGTCCTCATCGCTCAGTTTATCATCTCAATGTAGCTGCTTTTTACATAGCTTTGGTAATAGTACTTCAGCTGGCAAACGCAAAGGGGCTACCAAACCCAATGGATCAAAGAGGGGGGAGATGGAGTACAGTATTCGCCTTCGAGTAAGCGGTCGATCGGGAAAAACGAAGGTGGAGCGAAATTCATCCGCTTTAGTGTCCCACTGCAAACCCAATGTCCTTTCGGCTGTCTGAAAGGCTTCATTGGAAAGCACCGATGACGAGACATCCGACTCACGCACATTACTTAAAAGAGACTCTCTATTGCACATCCATCTTCTTAAGTGGAAACCACCCTTTGATAAAACTCGACTAAGCTCACGCGCTAATCTTTGAGCCACGTTCACATCAGGTAGTGATGCTAAACAATCGTCAACGCAGAAGTATCTATCTACTGGTTGTCCTATTTCAGTCATGCAATTCGTTCCCCAAATTCGTTCCCCACAAAATGGTGAGGACGTGGCGCCAAACGGATGGGATGTCATTTGGAGTTGCTTGGGCTCGCCGGCAAAGCCTTCTGAGTAGTGCACCCCTGTCAGCTTCGGGAACCTTTACTTGCATGAACATTTCGGAGGTGTCTGCAGCCGCATCTACATAGTTATTCCGGAATCGCAAAAAAAACCTCCCGACAAATTCGCAGAAGTGTCGGGACCTTGATAATATCTATCGTTCAGGGACACATTCTCAAACTTGGCCGCGCAATCTAAGACGACTCGGAGCTTTACTGGTATCTTCGGGTTCAAAACGGGGTGATGTGGTAAATGCCACTTCCTTTCGTTCCCTGATTTAGATTGATGAGTGGGTACAGGTTCGAGGTAGCCCTAAATGATGTTATCGTTCATGCATTATTTGTATCGCGCTAACAAAGACTGATTCTTTGAAAAATGTCTCCTCATGTATTGCAATCGAGAATGGGCTAGATGATAAATGTCAGGAAGTCTTTCAGCCGTTCTCCACGGTAATACTACTTAGTAATGACCATCCTTAAACACTGAAGACATTTCAACGATTCGGAGCGCTTCTTTGTCTTCGACACTTTGGCAGACACCCGGAGTCTCTAGATCGTTGAGATCGGATTCATACAGGGCCATTAGATGAGCAGTGATGTCACCATCCTTCATACTTACATGGTGCAGTTGTCTCCAGACCCTATGTCCTATAGACAACGGGCCAAGTAGAACCCAACCCAAGGGTGTCTTAACATCGCAAGGTTCCCTTTGCTTGCCCAACCTTTTCTCCATTGGCAAATTTGCCTCTGGAACGTCTTCTCCTATCAATATTCTCACACGCCTCTCTGGAAGCTCCACAAAGGTAGTATCCTTCAAGTGATTATATTGACTAGATATCTTCGTTGGGCTCATGACTGGTGGGCTGATGGGCAGACAGCGTATTGAAAAGGCTTGTTCGGCCGCGACGGTCTCACCTGAATCTACCGATTCAAACCCGATTCTGAGACTTCCAGCCTCAACAGTAGAGGTCCCACTCACTGTTGATAAATTCAAAAATGTTGAAGCGCCAGCCAGACCAACCTCATCAAGTAAGTGTTTCGTTACCATTGTTACTTCCGACCCACTATCCAACAATGCGTACGTGAGAGCGCTGGCTTGTGAACCATTCACACTAACCGGTATGACGCCAGGGCAGGTTCCTGATTCCGTCTTAGATGTCGAGTTGCACAAACCAACCAATGTGATTTGTTGGCATCCAGTGTTACATATAAAAGATGGCGGTGAGATCCCAAGCAGTTCCTAATACCACACTTCTTAAGAGAACCGCATTTGTTACTGGCATGGCCTGGTTTTAGGCATGCAAAACATACCCGCTTCCTTCTCGCCACACGCCATCTTGCTGGCGTTGGCAGGTCAGTAAACCTACGAAATTGCGCCAGTCTGTGTCTTCTGTCGCAAAAAGGGCACGAGTCATCGGTTCACATCTGAATGGCAAATATGTTATGGCGACTTTTGTTGCCTACCAGATGATGCCGCGTCATTTTACACTTCCCGACCAATATCAGCCATATCAGTCCACAAAAGTTTGTCTTACTGAAATACAACCGCAACCGCCCGCTTTGTGGTCCAACGTGACTTTGAGAATTTTGCTGAGTGAAGGTGGTTGTGACTGCCGGTTGGCTATAATAGACTGCTGCTAACCATAAACGTGAAGAAACATTTCAGCTACAAACGCTGGACTATTATATTTACACTTGTGGATTAATATTTCGATCTCAGGAGATCTGGAATACCAGGAAGATGGAACTATTCTTGGTGGTGGTGGTTCACGGAATATAGAACTAAGGAATCTTCTATTTTGAACTGTGAGTCAAGATTTACTCGGATTTTCCCCTTGTGACTTTGTTTTCGGCTTACATTATTAATTCGTTATGCTCACTATTGACTCCATAGGGCCGTTAACCACTACATAATTGGTGAGCCCGACCGTTTGATAACCTCAACCTCAC